ATCTTTTGCTGGACACATAGGTCCAACCATTAGCCAACCATTAGGATTTTCATTAGTTTGATGATATGGTAATATTAAAATAATAATTTTACCCTTTATTACTTTTAAAAATTGCTATTATATAATTTTTATTAATTTTAAAAAAATAGATCAGCGCTTTCCTTTTTTGGGAGCTAAGGAGCATCGGTTGGTGCTTCCTATTTTTTAAAAAAATAATAATAATTTTTTAAATTAATTAAAAAAGGTATTTTAGTCTTTTCAGAATCTTTGTTAACGGTGTTTGAATTGTTGGGGTAGAGTGTCCATCAAAAACTAACGGATCCATTTGAAATTTCAATTAAAATTTGGAAATGTGAGGATGTTTTGCCCAAAGATATATGATGATATTCTAATCTTGCTTGTGAAGTTTAAAAATTCCATGAATAATATATACACAATGGTAGTTATGTATTGCCTGAAGAAAAGGTAATGAAGTCGCACAAAATATTGCTTGCCATAAGTCTTTATGCCTTCATAGAAAAGGACATATATCAGAACTTTGTAATTAATAAACATAAGGCGATGGGGTTTTGGTCCTCTTAGATAAAATAATCTATTCCTCTCTCCAAACGGCAGGTTTCTTGCCTAGCTATCTTCTCTCAAGTTTCATATCTATAAAACATTTAAAAACCTTGAATGTTAAAAGGACATATATTCAACAATATGTTATAGTAGGTTGTTTGCTATGCTGCACAAATATATGTTGCTGGCTTGGATATTACAAGATCAAGCGTTTTCTCATGAGACCTTGATATGCATGACTTGTCGTTTATTTGGCATAACTACTAAAACCCACCAACTCTTTGTGATTAATTCTTTTTGGCATATATAAAAGTGAGAGCTAGAATATTTTAGTAGCAAGATTGTGCAATTGATCCAGAATTTTGTGAATTATTATTGTTTGACTCAAGCATATACTATGGCAAGCAACTATAGGAAAGTGTATCCCACCCAAAATCAATCATTCCAAAGGGCAACAGATGAAGTATTGATATCAGTTTGGATTGTTGTACTATAACTAATTAATATACAAATAAGTAATGCAATGCACATCCATAACTCAGAGTTACACCATTATTCTCTATCTGAATGTCATGATATTATGCATTCTTAATTGCATAAGAAATTCAATCATTCCTTTGACCACCTAATTGGAATGCTTTCATGTCCTGTAGATTACAATCCTTTGGTAGCTTCCATACTCATGAGTGGATTGTCAATATGCATGCACGTCATCAATTTGATATTCTTTTTTCATTGCTCGTTAATTTGAAAGTAATTGAATTTGGTTGAAAAATGTTAAGAAGGCAGCAGCATTTGTGCATAAACTAAATAACTAATTAATGCTCCATTTGTATGATTCTTTTGTTTATTATTTACTTAAAGTAAATAGTGACGTATCCATGTAGCAAAAGCAGGCATATACATACATATATATCAAACAGGTTGGTAGATGCATAGGAGACAATTTTCCTGATATGGAGGATACATGATTGTGAGATAAGGCCACACCAGTAATATTCCATTGGAGGATGTTTTTATGGTGGGTTAATTGATTAGTAGTGTTGGGCCAGTTGTCGGCTGGCCTATGACCACACTATTTGCAGCTAGAGTGGGTGAGTTTGGTGAAGCTGAAGCAACATAAAATAATCTATTCATGTATCGTCCCAACCATATGATGTTATTGCTTCCTTATTGGGTTGAATAACTTGCTGATTTTAGTAAATGTTATCATCATTTGTGAGAGAAAATAAAATTGAAAATCAATCCAATATTGGAAGTTTTAATTAGAGTTGTCTAAATAAAAACACCATGCATGATGAGGAGAACCAGAATGTTATGCAATTAAATTGGTTATTTTGGATAAAATTGATTTTTATGATTAATAATTGATTCATTGTCATTAATCAAAATGTCATTTATCGTGGATTGATATGACATGTTGACATATCATACATAGTAAATAATAATATGATATACTTATGTAATATAATGACATAATCATATGATATAATTATATGATTATTTAATGTTTTCACTCCTCATAGTAACACCACATGAGACTTAACTGAATGTAATAAAAAACATAAAATTCTATTTAAACTTTTTTAAAGAGTTCATCAAAATTTTTAACCCCTAAAAATTTTCACCAAGTACTACTAAGCACTGCACTATATTTGGTGGAATATTTGTTTACTCTCACTTGTTTATTGAGGTGCACACTCGTAATAATGACTCTCCACTCCCCAATTTGAACTTAATATAACTCAATTTGACTTCATAGTAGAGTCATGTATAGGCTGACAAGAATCCTGCATTACATAAATTTAATTACCTTGTAACGCTGCACGTCCTACAAAATTCCCCTTTAGCCTTTACACTTACCAATTAATATTATTAAAATAACCAAAGTGTATATGGTTTTTCTTTTAATTTTTTATTAAAAAATATGAATTTAACTTTACAAATGAGGGGATATGGATATTATACATAGAAATGTTCATAATTTAAGGAAAATAAAAAAACAAAGAGCATGGCAATCAGTGTTATGTAATGGAATATCATAAACAAGGCGTGCACGCATTCACTAAAGCAGATACGTCAAAGATTATATATTTTTTCTCTTTAAATCAAAATCATAATTAATTTACAAAGGAAATTCTACCCCTTTCTTCTTTCTTTTTGTACATGCGAGGTCAAACTTTTCCATCATATATAGATAGCAAGCCAAAAGGACAAAGAGAAATGAAGAGACCAATAGAGTACATAACGTATTTAAATACATCTTATTGAAAAATAAAGTAAAACACATAATATAAGTTGATAACTCTATTATATAGAGTTATTTTGATATATTTTAAGGGCTTAAGTAATTATATCTTTGAAATTTTAGGTTCAGATTTTAACGTTTTAGATGTTTTTCTAGTTTAAGTTTGATTACTTGTTAAGTAATTAATTTAAATTATTTTAGTTAAATTTTATATTGTTTTGTTTTAAATTATTTTAAGAGTAGTTATTGCTAATTTTTCTTATGACTTTTGTAGAAAATTAATGAAAAAGGCTCATTTGATGAAAATCAGTGCAAATATAACGATGACTTCATTCATATATGTTTCGATATTTTGACCATATCTCTTTCTAAACAACTCTAAACGAGATGATTCTTAGACCACTAGAATTATAAGAATAAGGGCTACAACATTTATTTTTATCAATTCACCCAGTTCTAATTGGATCATGGTCAAAATATTTGTCAAAATCGGAGCACTGCAACACTACTTAAGGACTGAATATGATACGGTATTTGGAGCATATCTTTCAATCCAGAAGTCCAATTGATGTGATTTTTTATCCATTTGAAAGTTAAGAGACATGGCTAAAACTTTTATATTACTACTTTGCCCAATTCAAAACATGTCAGGATGAAACTCACATTTGAAGTTGATAGACTGTAACAGTGCTGGGATAACAAGGCTACAGCATTGATAAAGAAAGCAGACATACAAATTTTCAGAGATCTCGATGCTGCAGCGCTGAAGAAGTAGCTTCGTAGCGCTGGGTAACTTTCTAAAAATCAAAAAAAGTTGATGAGATTTTAGAAATTAAGTTATTTGAAACCTATTTAAGAAATTCTTTTAGAGATTTTGAAAAGAGACAGCAAACAATTAATATGAAGATTTAACTTACACAAGTCACTAAGCAAGCAATTCCAACTGGAAACAAAAAACCTATAAAATTAGAAAAAAAAATATCATCACAACAATAGGTAATTATTGTATCCCATTTATTTCTTCACGAATCAATGATCTTTACATTCTAAGAAGAAAAATGCTGAGTTCGGGGCCTCCATTATTATCAGGGTTCATCATGTAAAACGCTTCCGAGTCGCGACTCCCAACGACTCGTTCAAACTTAGCCCTCATATACAACAACTCACCTTCACTTCCACCACCTTTCCGTGCATCCTCCACCACCGGAATAACCCCGGCACCGACCGACACGCTTTGCACCGTACTCAATACGTGCCAATCCGATTCGGTGCACGTGCGGGTCATGGCGTACCCACTTTTCCTCCCGTTACAATACATAGTCCACATCGGTTCATGGAACAGCCTCCCGGTTCGACCCGGTTGAGCCGCAGATCTGCCCGGGACCTTCTCGCACTCGAGCGCGATCCGGACCAAACCCGATGACATTTCTTTGACCAAACTAGACGTTGACATGGCTAGTTCGAGGAGCAAAACCGGTTCGGACCGGGGATCATCCTGGACGGCAAAGCTGACATGACCGCGGCGGTGGCCGAAGAGGGTTCCTGTCACTTTACGGCCGAGGGAAGGGGTTATGGAGAGGTGAGTTGGAAGGGTTAGCCATTTGCAAGTGGTGGGGATTATATTAGGAAAAGCTATTATCTTGAGAAGGGAACGAAGGAGGGAGGAGAACCTGGAATTAACGTTATGGAAACGTTGTATGGAACTACGTGGGGATGATGTGGTTCTAGGAATAAGGAGTTTGTCAGAGATTTCTTCGTGTTCAGGGATTGGAAGTGAAGTGGATCGAGGAAAGTTGGATGGGTTTATCTTGTTTCTTGTGCTTTTGTAGTTGAAATTGTTGTAGCTGGTGCTTCTTTGAAGAGTTGCAGGTTCTTGATGGTGTTTCATGGTACACACAGAATAAAAAGAAAGGGTAGAAGATCAGCTGGATGTAGAGTAACAAGAAAGTGACGATAAGGGGTGGAATGTTAAGGGGGGGTGGGATGTTCTGATGGAAGGATTATAGGAGAAAAAGTGGAGGTGCTTTTGTTGAGATTGAGCTGCTATGGGGTTGTGGGGGAAAGCAAGAGGAAATGGGAAGGACATTGGCCGACAGAAGCAATGATGAGTGTCTAGAGGTGGCCAATGTAAAGGGCGACTATGGAGGCTTGTGGACTGGCGATGATGATTTTATTTCTCACAACACAGGCACGGCTTTTATATATATATATATATATATATGTATGTATGTATGTATGTATGTAATAGTATATATATATATGTATGTATGTATATGTATGTATGTATGTATATGTACACTGTTTTCCAAATACTTTTGCATGTTCCCACAGCCTCCAGCCGCTATCATCATCAATCATCATCATTGCTGTTTCCATCCATTTCCACTCATCTCCACCGTTCAATACACATGCCTACCATCTCCTTTTGTCATGACGTCATCTAGCTCACCCAACAGCAAATTCGGGTTGCATGTGCCATAACACATTAATACCATCATTTGTATGTTCATTTTCCTTACTTCTACTGCATTACCCCAAAAACAAAAAGTTTCCTTTGATTTTTTTTTATAATTAAAAAAGAGAGAATTTGAATTTATTTTTTAAATAAGAGATAATTTAATAATTAATAAATTAAATACTCGAGTATAAAGAGTTTCTCTTAATTAATTAAGATACATTTCAACTATCTATTTATTTAATTCAAGATCAAATTGAAACCAAGATTGCCATATTTATGCCTAAACTTTGAGCTTAACCAATTTTTAACCATCTAGAATTCGAGGTTGATATCAATATTGGATCAGCATGCATATACGGACGATCAGGGGATCCTGATCTTGTATGATAGCAGGGTAGCATTTCTTTCATTCATTCTTTCTTTTTTATGTTGAGATCTCATGTTGACCGTCGGATGACAATCAATGAGGATGAGAAGTGGTTGAAATGAAACATAATGCAGACGTAAAGAGAGGCAAATTAAACAGGAGGATTGTCCCACTCTCATTTGAAGTGGTCTAAGGCACACTCCTTAACACACTAGAAATCAAGGACACGGGTATAAGGATAAGAGTGGAGCTAAAGCATTTTTAAAAAAGAGATTAAATTAAAAAAATATTAAATAGTTAAAAAGAATTTTATATATAATTTAATTATCATTTATAAAAAAATTAAATAAAATTTAAAAAATATTGAACATATAAAAAAATACACATTAATAGTAATGATGATGTCATTTATTTATATATATATCTATATATATATATATATGATAGAATGAAACTATTAAAAGAGTTTTTTTTCACTTTTTGTACACAAAAGTATTAGAGTAAACAATTTTTCAAATTCAAATAAATCATTTCTTCACTGTATATGTTCTAACTCTCCTCTTATTTTCTATTTATCTCTTAAATTATTAATTAACATATTGGGTTATTGGATTGAATTATAGAGATGTAATATGTTACGATAGACTATTAGATTTAACTGTTAAGATATAATATATTATGATAGGGTTAGATTTATATTTAAACTTAATGGATTTGAATTAGTAGACTCACTTTTATTTTTTTTTTAATTTTATAGGCTTAACATATTAGTTTAGAATTTATTTGGTGGGCTTAACTAGCAATATGCTAACTATAATTATTCTACTTTTATCAAACAGTTTGAAAAATAAAACTAATTATTAAATAAAAAATTATTTTGAGTGTCATTAAAAATATATATAATAAATAAAATTTTATTAAAAAAAGTACAATTATTTCATTCTGTCAATTTATATGTATATCTTTATTACTTAAAGTTTGCAACATACATACTAAAATGAATTGGTTATTCTGAATATAAAATGATATATTGATGAAATTTTAAACAACAGTGTAACACTGTAACTTATATTTGAGAATTATATAATAATTTATTTATTTTTAAAAATTAAAATTATAAAAAATAAAATCTACATAACAGAAGAACATGATAAGTAAAAGACAAAATCCACAAATGATATAATAAAAAGAAAAAGAAAAAGAATATGATTAATGGTTTGTATAAATTTATGAAAAAAAATTTACAAAGATTTGAAACATATGAGTAAATAAAATATAAATAAATAAATAATTATAAATAATAATGATATCACTTAAAAGAAAAAATTAAAAAAATAAAACTGAGTCAAGCATATAAAAATATTTTTGTTATTTTTTATTTATATTAATTATTAAATAATAAAAATTATTTTTTATTAAGCATATAAAAACAATCAAAGTTCCAAAGGTTTTAATTTATATTAAGGAAGTAAATCTTGCTTTGCCTTAAGAAGGAAGGGGCGCGTGATGTGTTTAAGCATGCAGATGTAGTAGTACTCAAGACAAAATAAAAGAAAGGTGAGGAAAGGTCAATGCAAAATTATGTTAAGGCGAAGAGGCAGAGGCCGCTTTGTTTGTCCCCATCCATTTGGAAAACACCTTTTATAAACTATGAGCGGTTTTTTTTTATTTTAATCTCTAAAATTAATGGAAGTTAATCAACATCAATAATTAAAAACTCAAAATAAAGTCTTTGGACGGCTCCAAACCAAGCATGCTCTCAAACCCACCACCAATCAGATGGGTGGCCTAACAGTGTGGACGGCTAGGATTGCCCATAGACTATGCCACGGGGCGTTAAGATCACCTCTGAAAGCACTCTGATGTTGTTTGTTCTTATATGTCATCTTCTCTCAGCGAAGTTCCCACCATCATCAGCCTTTTGTTTAATTATGATTAAGATTGAGATTGTTTTCATACATAATTTTAGTTTTTCATAAGATTATATTATAACTATAAATTATAATAATTAAATAATCTTTAGTGTAAATATATAATATAATACATTTTCGTGAAAAAAAAAATCCATAAGCAAACTAACTAAATCTAATAAATTAAAGTGTGACCTAGTATAATCTAGAAGATAGAACAAGAATATTTAAACAACTGCAAATAATTATGGTGGAGATTATTTTAGGCACCAAATAGAAAACTTTTGAGGTTTATTTAAATAAGTTGGTGTTATGATGACGAGGGGGCCTATGCTTTTGATACATGCATGCTTTAATTAGAACCCCTTATTTCAATGACGTGGGAGATACTTATCTACATTTACTCCTATTTTTTAAACGTTCGAATTGAAGAAGAAGATGACAGGATATGGACCAGATAATATCATAAACCAGAAAAGAAGTTGACTTGGATTTTGTATTTTGTTTCAGAAAGAAACAATGGACATAAGTTCCATGGAGCAGTGTACATTCCTATGGTGGGGGGGAAAATATAAATGGATCTTATTGTGTAAGATTTACGTGGAACACAGCTTGTGTGAGCTATTAGCGTATCTAATTACCTAGCTTAAGCACAAATAAAGGAAGCTAACAGAATAAGCAACGACAATGAAATCTGAAAGTTACCCAAATCTGCTGATGGATGAAGACCTGAAAATAATATGTAAAGTGGTTCGACAATCTACAACCACACAAAGTGATGCTTTTCCTTTCGTCCCCTGTTTCTTTGTTCCTCTAAATTGATCGAAACAGGATATAGGTAAACCATACACAGCCAATTCCATTAGACGGGATAAGTAATATGGCCTTCTTCAACTGCAAAATCATTAAAACAGAGAAAAAACTGCGCCTGGAGTTGGTTGCATTGGTCTATTGCTTTTTGCATCAGCAAGTTGAAACCTGAACCATTTGACTAGTTACAAAATATCTAGTTTTTCACCATTTTGTTTGCAGACCCCAGTGTATAGAGCACTAAACAGTCTGCAAATTGTCCTACCATCCTCCTATGTAGGCCTGTACACTAGGTCACTATGCAATTTGCAGATTAAATGTGCTGAGTGATCTAAAGCTTAGCAACCGTGATATCAGAGCACCAATGTATATCTAATTGCCTAAAGAGATACATTTTAACTATTTGAAGAAACTGAAAGTAGAAGGTTTCCACATTGCTAAGAGATAAATATCAAATTGTGAATGCAAGCATGTCACTCTGAGGCCACTTGACTCGTTGTTTCATTGCTGACAGGTTCAATCTTTGCCACTTTCCTCTTGCGGCCAACATCTGATGGCAACCTGAGAAACAATCAGAATATCAGAACATGGCAAGTCCAACTGAAAAAAACTCTGAAATATAAATGAAGAGTTGTAAAACTATGAAACCCAAAAGAAGTATTTAGTTGAACGATAAACAAGTCCTTTGTATTTCAAAATAAAGGCTCTACTGGGTCCATTCATCTCCTAACTTCAGTGTAAGCCCAACATAGCATGAATTTACTCTGCTACAATTTGCTCGCATTGGTTACCTAAAGCTCTACCTGACTTCTTAGCTCTTTTGGCAAACCATTACAAACATATAGCTGGCTTCTCATGGATATTTTTTTTCAATCTTTTTATCTAGCCTGAGAAGATGAGGTTTATTAAATTTTATGGCTTGAAAAGTTGATATAGTTGACATTCAACTTCTTTTAGCAGTTTGATATATTAGAATCAAGGACTGTCAACCCTTGGTTAAGTTGTCAAGTTGAAGACAGAACAGAAAGAGACATCTGACAAGAATACCTACACCAATCTAAGAAGTTTCTAAAGTCTAAAAAATAAATTTTCTTTTACTCTCGTTGCATGTGACTGTTAAAATGAACAACGCATAAATGATAGAAATATGAGATAAGACTAGGCATTCAGGGCAGAGAAAGATCAGAGCGGATAGGTGTTAAAAGAAAATGTGAATGACAAATCTCTAACTTACCCTAATTGCAAGGAAGTGTCTGAATGATCATTGTTATCAGTATGGTCGTCCTCCTCCTCTGATGCACAATCATACTCAGCCTTTGAACTGTTGGGAGGAACTCTTTGCAGCGGGTTGTATTCAAGTAAATTTGAGCTTGTATTTTGTCGCAGTTCCTCAATCTTGGTAAATTCGGTGATGCAAACACAAAATTAGAGAAGATAAGACTATTACGAATTTGAAAACCTCGGGATAAATTTACTCTTGTACTCCATTTGACAGTTGATTGTATGGCGTACCTGTTTACGTAGAGTCTCATTCTCCAGAGTAGCCTGCCGCTCCTGAAAATAAATATTAAACCAAAAAGTATTAATCACAATCATTTAATTGCTAAAGAAAGGATCCTTCC